ACCAAACCTCTGAATCATAGGTATAGAAGAAGAAGAAACCCAGGTCAAAGCACAGAAAAATTTTAAATAAAATCATAGAAGAAAACTTTCCAAATCTACAGAACATCAAGTATAAAGGACCAGAAAAGAAACTCTTCACATCATATACCAATCAAAATGCTAAATATGAGATTTCACAACTAAATATGAAAGTTGTGAGAAAAAAAGATCAAGTCACATATACAGGAAGGCCCATCAAAAGCTGATTTTCAATAGAGACTACCAAAGCCAGAAGAGTTTGTACCAATGTCCTGCAAGTCATGAAAGAACCCAGATTCACAGACTAGATGACTATATTCAGCAAAACTATCTGTTGTAATCAAGAGAGAAAGAAAAACTTGCCATGATAAAAACAGATTTAAAGGATTTATATTCGCAAAATCAGCTTTGCTGAGAATATTCAATGGAATGCTTCAGTCTGAAAAGATTAAACACTAATAAATTATCTAAGATCAGCTAACCATAAGGGATTTAGGAAAATAGCAGTACATCACCAACATAACAGGAATTAATGAACATTGTTCAATAATAATACTCAGTATTAATGATCACAACTTCTTAGTATAAAGGGACAGACTAACTGATTAGATTAGAAAAATGATTCATGGATTTGCTGACTCCAAGAAACACACTTCACCATCAATGATCAACATCACCTTAGAAAGGATGGAAAAAGGTATTCTAAGCCAACTGAACAAATACCTGAACAAATAAATTTCAAACCAAAACTAATCAGAAGAGATGGGGAAAGTCATGTCATACTCATTAAAGGAAAAATACACCAAGAAGATATTACAATCCTAAACACATATTCACCACCAAGAAGGGCAGCCAATTTCATAAAAGAAACTCTATTAAATCTAAAAATCACAAACTGACTCCAAAAGAATGTTGGTGGGTGACTTCAGTATCCTATTATAACCAAAAGGCAGGCCAACCACACAAAATCTAAACACAGAAATCCTCAAGTTAAATGAAATCATACATCAAATGGACCTAACAGACATCTCCAAAACATTCTATCCAAATAGCAAAAAACACACTTTCTTCTCGGCAGCCCATGAAACTTTCTAAAAAAGTAACCACATATTAGGAAATAAAGAAACTCTCTACAGATTTAGGAAAATTGAAATATCATCCTGTATTATGAGTAGACAGGAATAAAGCTAGATATCAATAACAATAAAAATGGAGACTAGTACATGAATACATGAATTTATAAAAATTAAAAAGCACACTACTGACTGATAATTGGATTAAGAGAAGAATCAAGACAGAAAGACAAAACTTTTAAAGTCCTAGAAGTAAATGGAAACACAACATACCAAGATCTATAGGATACAATGAATGCAGATCTAAAGACAATAGTTTATGTCATCAAGTGCTTAGACCAGAAAATTCAAAACATCTCATATAAATAAATTAATGATCCACCTGAAGGCCTTAGTAAACCAAGGAAAAACAATTCCCAAAAAGAGTATACCAGAAGAGATAAGATAAAATCAAAGCTGAAACTAATGAACTAGAATCAAAGAAAACAATACAAAGACTCAATGAAACAAAGATTGGTTCTTTGAAAGATTAACAAGATAGACTTTTAGCAAAATTAACCAAAAGAAAGAGAGAGTGGACCCAAATTGATAATCTGAGAGATGAAAAGGGAAGCATCACAACAGACTCTAAGGAAATTCAGAAAATCATAAGGACATACTTTTAAAAAAAATGTATATTTCACTTAACTAGAAAATCTAACAGAACTAGATAAATATCTAGATATAAATGGCCTATAAAAGTTAAATCAAATGACATAAATAATCTAAATAGGCCCATAACAATCAATGAGATAGACGCAGTGATTTTAAAAATCTCCAAATAAAAAGTGCCCAGGACCAGATGGATATGGCACAGAATTCTACGAAAACTTCAAAGACCTAATATGAATACTCCTCAAATTATTCCATAAAACAGAAAAGGAAGGAATACTCCAAAATTCTTTCTATGAAGTCAGTATTACTCTAATATCAAAACCAGACAAAGACCCAATTAAAAAAAGAAAATTATAGGCCCATCTCTCTGGTGAACATGTATGCAAAAATTTTCAAACCAAATATAAGAACACATCATAAAGATTATCCACCATAATCAAGGTGGCCTCATTCTAGAGATTCAGCAATGGTTAAACACAGATAAAATTAAATCCACCACATAAACAGAATCAAGAACATAAATTACATGATCATCTCATTAGATGTAGAAAAGGCCTTTGACAAAATTCACCAGCCTTTCATGATAAAAGTCATGGAGGATCTAGTGACACAGAGGTCATATCCCACATAATAAAGACAATATACAAGTGCACAGAAAAATAATAAATGGAAAAAACTCAAAGCTTTCCCATTAAAAAGAAAAGGCAAGACAAGGATATCCACTCTCTCTATTCCTATTCAATAAAGTAATTGAAGTCTTAGCTAGAGAAAAAGACAAATGAAGAAGATAAAACTGCAAAGGAAGGAGTTCAAGTATCATTAGTTGTAGGTTATGAGAGTTTATACATAAAAGACCCTAAAATCAACACCAGAAAACCTCTAAAATGGATAAACACATTTAGCAAAGGGCAGGATATAAAATTAACACTCCCAAATCAGTAGCCTTCCTATACACCAACAATAAATGTTCTGAAACCCATCCCAAGGACAATAGCATCAAAAACCATAAAATATTTTGGAATAAATCTAACCATAGATGTGAAAGACCTATAGAATAAAAAATTTAAGATATCGAAGAAAGATATTGTAGAAGGTATGAGAAGATAGAAAGACCTCCCATACTTGTTAATATTGTGAAAATAGTGTAAAAATGGCCATTCTACCAAAAGCCATCTACAAATTCAATGAAATACACATTAAAATTCCAACACAGTTCTTCACAAAAATTGAAAAAATAATCTGAAATTTCATCTAGAAACATAGAAAAAAATTTTAAAAAAAGGATAGCCAAAATAATCCTGAACAATAAAAGAACTATCGGAAGTCTTACCATTCCTGTTCTCAAATTATGCTACAGATCTATTGTAACAAAAGCAGCATGGGGGGCTGGAGAGATGGCTCAGCGATTAAGAGCACTGACTGCTCATGCAGAGGACCTGGGTTCAATTCCCAGCACCCACATGGCGGCTACGAACCGTCCGTAACTCCAGTTCCAGGGGAATCCGAAGCCCTCTTCTGACCTCCGCAGCATTGCATGACACTGGTACACTCACATACATGCAGGCAATGCACTCATACACATAAAATAATAAATAAAAATATTTTTTAAAAAGCAGCATGGTACTGACATAAAACAAGCACATTGGTTGAGGAACCCAATTTGAATCCATACATTGACACTCATCTGATTTTTGATAAAGAACCCACAAATGCACACTGGAGAAAAGACATCACGGTCAGCAAATGGTGCTCATCAACCTGGATAACTGTATGTAGAAGTATGAAACTAGATCCCTGTCTCTCACCATGCACAAAACTCAACTGTAAAAGGATCAAAGACCTCAACTTAAGTCCTAATACAGTCTAATAGAGGAGAAAGTAGGGAATACATTGGAACTTATAGACACAGGAAAGGACTTTCTGAAAAGGGTTCCTATAGTGGAGGCATTAAGAATAAGACAAATGGACCTCATGAAACTAAAATGATTCTGCACAGCAAAGGACACCATCATTTGAATGGAGAGGTAACCTACAGTGTGGTAAGAAATCTTTATCAGCTATACTCCTGACAGAGGGCAAGTATCTAGAAAATACAAAAAAACTCAAAAAACTAAGCATCAGAAAAACAACCCAATTAAAGCCAGAACAAGGACGTAAACATGGAGTTCTCTAAAGGTGAATAGGATACCTATATCAAACTTTGCTTCCCAAGGTTTGGGGATCATTGTGGAAGACGGGGCAGAAAAATTGTTAAGAACCGGAGTGGTGAATGACAACAAAGAAACAGAGTTTTCCAGACAGCTGGGCAGTTACTCATACGAACTCAGCAATGGTGACAGCATGCACAAGACCCATATAAGCTCATCAGATAAAATCCCAGCATAGACATGGGGAAGTGGGTAAGAAAGCCCAAACCTAACTGATGAACTATTATATAATTGAGTACATGAAATCAGGCAAAATGACAAGGGGGTGCAGATAGGGGAGGGGATTTGAATATGATAAAAATATATTATAGGAAATTTGCCAAAATTCAATTAAAAATTAAATATTCAAACACAGTATAGTCCGAAGACATATTAATGCTTACATGCTGTGGAATGATAGTAGGAAAATAATAAAAATATTTGTTCTCTGTAATTAAACCATCATGTTTCTATAAGAACAGGAAACATTATATACAATATAAACACTGAAAATCCTAACACGCAACATTCTGGAATCTGATCCAAGTGTTTCAGGCAGTGTTCAGTGGTGTTGCATGGCTTGAAGGCATGTGTAGTACAAAGTATGCACGTTGTGTGTTCAGAACCCAAGCTGCAACTAAGGTGCATGCTGCCAGAAATACCTGAGATTCATTATAGGTTGGATTTTGAGTCAACGTTTTTGTCACTGTGCAGAAGCCTTTTACTGTTGCCAGTTTTCTTGGATTGCCGCCCCGCCCCCATTCAGTTCCATGACCCTTCCTTGGGTTATGGCCCACAGTTTGAGAGGCTGGGCTCTACACAGCCCCTGGTGTTCTTGCACACACAGACAATTCTAGCACCAAATGGAAGAAGATAACTTTTGTCTGATTCCTTGCTTCATGATCAAGACCAGTTAAAAGGGCTTCAGCTCATAGGATAGAATGCTTGCCTAGCATGCCCACAGTACTGGGTTTAAAACTCACCACTGTGTAAAAATGCTACAAAAAAAAAATCAAACTATAGAGGCTGCTACCTGTATTAACAAGAGAAGTACTTGAACTGAACTCACCGCCAGAGGCTTCTGTGTTGTTCCCTGAGTTGAGTGAGAAGGTGCTCAATGCATTTATTAGAGTCCATGTATTCCTGCAGAAACAGAACAAGATGGATTCAAAACTCACTATAGATTCATAGCCAGTAAAGGAAAGTTCATGTGAACAATTAAAAACAATGTTGTTAGCTTATTTCAACTTATCATATAAAAGGTGAGGCCACTAGTCACCAAAAAAAAATCATTGTGGGTTATGGAGATTCCTCTGTGGGTAAAGTACATGCATGGGGACCAGTGTTCAATCCTCATAACTGAGTTTGATACTCAGAACCCACATTTAAAAAGAAGCCAGGTATGGTGACCTGTATTTATAATATCAGCACTGGAAGATGGAGACAGGCAGATAGATTTCTGGGCTTGCTGGCCAGCCAATCCAGAAGAATTGTTGAGTTCCAGGCCAATGTGAGATCCTGCATCAAAAAACATGGTGGGCCAGATGCACTGGCACACACCTTTAATCCCTTCGTCTGGAGGCAGAGGCAGGCAGATGGCTGTGAGATCAACCATCGGAGGCTGGCCTACATTATGACTTTCAGCCCAGCTGGGGCTACCCTTTCTCAAAACAAAAACAAAACAAGAAAACGAGATGGATGGTGTCCTAAGGAAGACACTGAGTTTGATATCTGACCGCCATACACCTGAATACACACACACAAACACATGTACACAGACACACACAGAAACACACACATACACACACACACACACACACACACACACACACAAATTCACTGCAACAGTTGCCAGTCTCTAAGAATCTACTTCTATCTCTCATTAAAAACAAAACTGTTTTCCACAAGATAACTTTTATCACTTCCCAGTACTAGAAGCCTAGGCCTCTATGAGCCACATGTGCAGTCAGTCACTTGGGCATAGTATTATTGAGTCAGTGGGAAAATGCTATGACTTTTAGAAAAGCCAGCATTTCAAATTTGAATGTTGTAGCCCATGTGTTCTATATAAAAGTAAAGGAGTCAATATTATTGATGCCTCTAGAAGAAAAATAAAGTAGATAGATTTTACTAGTCCTATGGTAGGTTTTTGTTTTTGTTTTTGTGTTTTTTTGTTTTGTTTTGTTTTGTTTGGTCTTTTGGGGAGACAATGTCTCCCTGTAGCCTCAGCTGGCCTAGAACTCACTATGTAGATCAGGCTGGCCTTGAACTCACAGAGATCCCCCTGCCTCTGCCTTCCAAGTGCTAGGATTAAAGGTGTGTGCCACCACATCGGGCATGGTAGTTCTTTTCAAGTAAGAATAAACTATATACAGCACTTTATATCAGCATCCTATTCTTTGGACATACCTGCTTTTCTTCATCTTCTTATAAATACACAACTATGTTTGTGTGGTTTTAGTCCTAGAAGAAAGGCCAGCATCTAAGAACAGTCAAAACATAAAGTGTATCTTGTTCTATAAAAATCTGTATGTAGACAGGGTAGTCTTCTACCCAATGTATAGTTGAATACATTTGTTGAAAATCAGGTGACTGCAGCTGTGTGGGTTTCTTCTGGGGTCTTTTCTATTTCTTTGGTATGCAGGTCTGTGTTTTTGCCAGTACCATGCTGGTTTTGTCACTATGGCTCTGTGGTATAATTTTAGATGGAGTATTGTTATTAGTGCTTAGGATTGCTTTGGTTATTCACAGTCTTTTGTGCTTCCATATAAATTTTAGGATTTTTTTTCTGCCAGAGATATTGTTCTAAGAACTGAACTTCGATACTCTGCTCTGCAAGAGCAGTAAGTGCTCTTAACTACTGAGTTACCTCTGCAGCACTAAAGCCTATAAATTTATATATTTTAAAATTAATCTTAAAATTGTATATAAATTTATTCAGGTGAATCAAACCACAGTTTCAAGAAACCTGCCTGAAAAACTGAAGAATTTATTTTCACATGAGAATTGTGCAGAAACCTCTAGGAACTCTGACATCAGATTTTTTAAAATTTGTTTTTATTGAATTTTTGTGTATTTCATACAGAACATCTCAAACAATCTTAATCATCTTTATACCCCCATACCCACTGGTACTCCCCCATAGCCCCCCACTGGAGCCCATATACTCTGCCATCCCTGTTAAGGCCTACTATGTCATCAGTGTCCCCAGCCGTTCCCCAGTGCAAGTCCATCCACTGAGGTCTAGTCAGCCTATCTAGAGTCCCTTGTTTTAGAAAGATCAGCTCTTCTTCATCTAGCAGCAATCAGTTACCAATATTTCTTCAGCTAAAACTCAGGCAGACAATAATCCAGCATAGAACTGAGAAAATGGACAGCTGACATCAGATTTTTAAACTGTTATTTCTAAGGATGAGGACCACATATGATGGTGCTTCAGTTGCTACTTGGAAATCTAGGGTGAAAATTGTGGCATGCTGCCGCTTTCTTCTGGATGTGCTATTTCCTCCCCTTCCTGTTTGTAGATCTAGCCTTCAGGTCTACGCCTACAACGCAACTTCTGGGGACTAAACTGTGCACAGTTATTTCAAATTTAAAGGTCCCAGGAAGCATGCTGTTTTATTTCTATGGATTTTGGAATATACTAGGAGCTTTGACTAATATTGATATTTCTCTTTCTGAAATACAGATTTATTATTAAGCATTTTACATAATCTATCTCTCCTACAGGAATATTCACTGAATAAGCACATGGGGTGCAACTTAGACTTGAGTGATACAATTGGAAGAGTTTAGTCCTCAGTTCCTGACCCTGGATCTACCCAGATAGACCTGAAGGTATCTCATTACCTTTCCAAAAACACTTTAACACAGCAGGGGTATGCTAAGTACTTGCATAGCTAAAAACTTAGGACTCTAAGACACTATAATCCTGTAACATATAATTAGTTAAAGAGTCTTACGGATAAGAGTCTTACGATATTGAATCAATATCTATTTTCAGATAGCTCTAAAACGAGTCCTTAAACAAGACTACTGGGCATACTGAAACCAAAGCGGACCACAGAGATGCTTGTTCAGCTTGTTTATAGCTGCACTAGTCACAGTGGTCAAGACATGGAATCAACCCAGATGTCCAACAAAACAGATAATTGGGTAAAGAAAATGACAGAGAGAGAGAGAGAGAGAGAGAAATTTAACTCATCTATCAAGAATGAGATAACATCATTTGTAGGAAAACAGAACTAGGAATTCATGTTAAGTGAAATAAGCTAAATGCATCAATTCTGAAATATGTTCAACTGGAAAATAAATTTAAATTTTCCCCAAGTAGAAGCACATTTCAGTTACATTTATTTTGTTTTTTAAAAATATATTATTTATTATTTTTATTTTACATGTATGAGTGTATTGCCTGCATGTTATGTAAGTGTACCTATGCCATGCAATGCCCAGAGGTCAAAATAGGGCATTGGAGTCCCTGGAACTGGAGTGGTTGTTAGCCGCCATGTGCATGCTGGAAATTGAACCTGGGTCCTCTGCAAGAGCAGCCAGTGCTCTTAACTGCTGAGCCAGCTCTCCAGTTCTAGTTATATTCATTTTCATTCAATGATTCTTTAAAATATCTGCAATGCACCAAGTGCAGCTCCAAGTTCTATAGATACAGAGCAAGAACCCCTCCCTCTAGGGGCTAATATGGTATCCAGGGAGACATCAATAAATGAAAAGAGTTTTCAGTCAGATACATGCTATGAAGGAAATTAAGAGATCACAGAAAAGATCTGAAATGTGAAGGAGAGAGTGATAGTTAATACTATCAACTTGACAAGCTACAGAACCATGTAGGAGGCAAGTCTCCAGACACACATGTGAAGGATTATCCAGATTAGGCTAGTGTGTGGGTAAGGCTTAAGTAAAAATGTTTAAGTATAAGAAGAGTACATTTTATCTACCTTCATATAGTTTGGGAAAACAGTTTCCTACCATGTATTATGAGTTAAAAATACCTAGGTAGCCAGGCATGTTGGTGTAGGCCTTTAATCCCAGCACTCTGGAGACACGGGCAGGTGAATCTTTGTGAGATTGAAGCCAGATTGAACTCTATATAGTGAGGTCCAGGCCAGTTGGGACTACAGGGAGACCCTGTCACAAAAATCTAGACAGCCTTGAACCAGGCATTCATACTTGGAAATTATCTTGAGGAAACAATCAAATTAGAGCAAATTGAATTCAAGATATTTGTAACAAGTTGAAAAATATAGGAATGATTAAAATATAGCATAGTTTAATCTATCTGAAATACCATAGAGTTTTTTCTTTTTAAACTGCACAAAGAATATGAAGTGCGCTGGAGAACTGGCTCAGTAGTTAAGGCTCTTGCTGTTTTCCAGAGGACTAGAGTTAGGTTCCTAGCTCCTAAATTAGGCAGCTCACAACCTACTTATAACCTGATGTCTTCTGACCTATGCAAGTACCCACACACATACACATAAATAAAAAATTTAAAACAATTTGTAATACAACTGGAACAGTATAAGTGGAAAAGGCTCAGAGTTGCATAATTCTGCCAAAATTTATAAAACACAGATTGAAAATTTTTAAAATAAGTAATACACAGCAATATTACAAATTAATCTAATTTTCTTTTGAATATATTTCTCTTTTACAGTTTTAAAACATTTTCTGATTACTACACACATATAAAGAGTGGTGAGTGTTATTTTCCAAATGCAGCCTCAGCAAATAAGGCCCACAAAGATTAAATTGTCAATTGATTTTGGAAAACAAGAAACAATGAAACAATTTCTTCTACATTATTCTCAAAGTAAGGTTTCAAACAAATGAAACTCTCTTCTCCTTGTCCTTGTAAGTGTACCAGCAAAAACAAAGTTAGAGTTAGCCCTTGTCAGTGTCCTGATAAGAACAAAGTTGGGAATAAGGGAGTAAGGAACACCAAGTTACAGCAATTCTTATTTATACAATATGGCTTTTAAATTTTTCAAAGGTACAGCATTAAAGAGACATCTGTTCCTTGGCTAAAACTTATGTAAATTCGAATCATTTGAGAGCTATATTTCAGGAAGTTTGCCTTTCACTTAGTGCAAACACTTTGGGGCAATCAGTATGAGACACTGAAAGGGATT